CCTTGGATGGAGGACGTAGCTGCAGGAAGGCCGTATATCTTCCAACAAGACGGCGCACCTGCTCATACGAGTCACTTGGTGCAGAACTGGCTATCGGACAACATCGACATGTTTTGGTCAAAGGATTTCTGGCTTCCGAGTAGTCCCGATTTGAATCCTCTCGACTACTACGTGTGGGGCGTAGTCGAGAGGGATAGTAACAAAGCCAGACACCCTAATGTAGCCTCTCTCCAAGCCGCTATTGAAGCGGCATTCATAAAAATGGACCGTGCGCAATTGCAGACGGCATGTTCGCGCTTTCGGAATAGGATTGAAGCGGTGATCGAGGCGCAGGGCGGATACATTGAGTAAAATGTCTCAGAAAAGATCCCTTAACCGAGCTATAAAGCAGTCTATTAATGTTTTTTCATATTTTCTGTAATAAACAACTTTTTCGAGAAAAAAATTTTTGTCCGGATTTAAGTGGCGGACCCTGTACTCTTATCTGGTGAAACCCGTCTTTCAGATCAAGGAACGAGAAGACATTCTTAGTACCCAACTGAGCAATGCAGTTCTCAATCAAAGAAAATGGGTACTTCTGCTTGACAACGCGATTGTTCAGAGGCCTAAGGTCAACGCATAGTCTCATGAGACCATTTTTCTTTCTGACCGGCACTACTCTGGCACTGTAGGGGGAAACGCTCGGTTTAATTATCCCGCGTGCCAAGAAATCATCGGTGATCGCGCGTATTTGCTGCCTTTCGGCGAGCGCGAAACGGCGCGGTGCGTACGCGAATATCGACTCATCTTTCAGACAAACCTTCACAGTGTAATCATCTTTAAGTTTATCGATTTTCAGGTTTTCTATTTCGGACAATAATTTCCTGAGCTCTTCTTTGCATTGTGACCCAAAATCAACGGATATTTCATTCAGGCTGCTGTCTGACGCATTGACAGCATTGCAAACGGATATTTGCAACAACGCATGTGCAAAAATGTTATCGTCGCCCACTGAAGGCGATTCGAGCTGGTAAACGGTGTTTTTAACAACTGGTTTAAATGTGGCAATGATATTATGGGTATTAAAAAAATCACGGCCAATCAGGAGATCGGTAGTAAGCTCGCTATTTTGCAAAACGTGAAAAATAATTGATAAAGTCATAGTAGGTAATTGCTTCAGCACAATTGTAGTACTAACTAACCCTAAAATAGGAACTGGTTTGTTATTTAACGCATTATATTTATTTACAGGTTCCAGTAACGGGACCATGGAAATGTCGACAAACAATTTTAATACTTCGTACTTACTGAAGGAAATCGGACTTCCCGTGTCCAATAACGCTGAGAGTGAACAGATACACTGCTCTATTTGAATGACCTTCAACGGCGTATCGTTAAAATGAATATTCTTACCTCGTGGTGAGTGAACGAACGCAATCGGTGATTGAGACGCAGAAGTTTCGACGGCTGCAACCGAAGAAGAGGAAGCTACAGGCTGAGTTGACTGGTTTTTCCTCATCAGCTTGAAGCAGTCGTACCGCAGATGTCCCCGGGTCTTGCAGTAGATACAAAACTGGTCGCTTTTGCCAGAGTCTTTCTGGTGACCACCTTTGGAGCTGGATTTAGGAGCAGATTTCTTCTGATGAGAGGATCTGCCAGGCGCTGGAGTTTTCTTATCGGAATCTGCAGAGACGGAAACAATTTGATGCATACGGTCTAGAAATTGATCCACCGAATCAGACCTCAATGACGCCGCTGTCTCTTTCAAAGACCTAATTGGAATGCCACTAATCAGTAAGTGAACTATGCTGTCGTTGTCTAGCCGTAAATGGTGCGTAAGTGATATTTTGTCCATCGCGTACTCGAGAAATGATTCTTTACTTGGCATCCATCTACGCGCTTCTATCTTTTGCATGGCAACGTGGTAGAGAACTTTCCTCGAAAATCGCTTTAAAATAGCCTCGCGGAACCCGATCCAAGATTCGAGCATTGAGCCCGATCCTAAGTTGTACCACCGCTTCGCAGTCTTAACCAACCTTGAAGAAGAAGCTAAAAGCATTACGTCGTCCGTGACTTTATGAATCCGGGATACCTGTTTGACTCTCTGGACCCATAGCTGAACGTTCTTCTCCTCCAGGCCGCCGAATTCCGGGATCTGGGTAGCCAGCATCGTGACGGCGTGTGAAGAAGGTGCCAAGGCCACGGTGGACGGGAGCGACGAACCCGGACTCCGTGGAGTAAGTAAGTCATTCGCCGGTTGATCCACTGAAATTGTCGCGGTCGGCTGGATCTGGATCGCTGGTGGACCGGAGATAGATTCTAACATTTGCCGCAGGATTTCTGCCTGCTGCTGCTGGGCCTGCATGATCTGCTGCTGCATAGACTGCATTGTCCCAGTGATGATTGACGCCAGATGAGCGAACTCCAACGCCAGAGATTGCTCCGACGTCGGCGAAATCGAAGCGATCTTGTCAGCAGCCGTCGCTTTCCGGAAAGCAAGTCTCGTACCCGAGCGAAGTTGCGGACCGCTTGATGCGGCGGCCCCAGGAACTATTTCCTGCCCGAGATCGACTGGCCCGTGACGTTCAAAATGTTCCATCAGGGCGTCGATCAGTGATTTTAGATCATCAGAGACTTGAAGCCGATATTTGATCGCTTCTCTCTTTAACTGATCCAAGGTCATACCGTTAAGGACTTCACGATCCATGTTTTGTATCGACCGACGAATTGTAACGACCTCGGAATCACCTTATTTGTTATTCACTTGATTTGCCAAATCAAAGACTGATCGCGTAACACGTGATCACGGCGTGATGCGTGGAAAAACAGTACGTGATCGCGCACCGAATCTAACGCACTTTGTCTTTGAATTTAACTTTGCGGTAATACTGAATCTGTTTCAGGTTAAACACATCACCCGTTATAATCCGGGTTTATTCAAATCAGAGCTCTGCAGCAAAACGGAGCAAAAATAAGACACCGAACTGGAGCACAAGGCAGCTACAAGGCCCGATTTAAGAACAAAGGACCAGTTGAAAGTCGGCGCCCAGATTGGAAGCACGATTTCGAAGCAAATCGGAGCTAATCGGAGCAAAATTGGAGCAGGAAGCGGAGCAGGAAGCTGGGCTGCAATTCCATTTCTGAGAAATTATAAGCTGTAAGATCAGTAGCGAATGAAATAGATAAGGAAAGGTAGGAACTAAGGTTAACGGCGTGCACGCGTGATCGGCAATAAAAGAAACGAGCTCAATAAAGATATGCTTTTACACACAAGCTGACTCTTTCATTATACTGTTACACCAGTCGAAAACGGCACTAGACTTAGCCACGACGTCTACAAAATCCACTCCTCTCGCACAGTATTTACTCAACAAAAAAGAGAATCGAGATTAACAGCGAGCACAACTTCTCGTTCCGCGAGTCACACAAAAATGCCTCAAATGCTGTGGCCGCTATACAGCGCCGCTATTTCGATATCGATCGACTTACTGCGATATTTAAATATTGCTTTAGTCGATACTCGCAAGTGGTTCAATATGTGTCACCGGAGGTCGTTATTTTGGAGTGATAGAAAAATTCCTTACAGTTGTAGCTACTGATGGGCAATACTTTGAATGATTCATTTGTAACCTGTGGCGGTTAATGCGTATGAACGCCGCAATAGGAATCGGATAGAGATGATAGGTTGCCTTCCAAGAAATACACTAGGACGTATCTTCACTATCCGATTCCTATTGCGGCGTTCATACGCATTAACCGCCACATTGGTGACCCCGACGGAAGAACATGTCGAAGAAACAGGAAACCACCATCTTGGTCAGTGACGAGGAAGGGTTAAGCAGTAGAGCAACAATGCGGATTCCCGCATTCTGGCCAGAAGATCCAGAAATATGGTTTGCGCAGCTAGAAAGCCAGTTCGCTCTCTGTGGAGTAAGAGAAGACGAAGCAAAGTACGCATATGTACTATCAAAATTAGAACCAAAACAAGCAAGAGAGGTGAAGGATGTAATTACACAACCACCGACNGGAAGCAAATATCCTACAGTAAAGAAAGCATTAATCCAGCGTTTGACGGACTCACAGGAAAATCGCATCCGGCAACTTCTGGAGCAAGAAGAACTAGGAGATAAAAGACCGTCACAGTTCTTACGCCAGTTGAAAACTTTGGCAGGGACAACAGTATCAGACAAATTATTACGAACACTATGGCTGGGCCGCCTGCCACCACAAGTACAAGCAATTCTGGCGACGAGGGCAGAAGATGACATAGACAGCGTGGCCGAACAGGCGGACCGCATTCACGAGATAAATAGTAGAGCACTAGTCGTAGCAGCAACTCCGCAAGCAGCAGCAACACAAGCTTCGACGTCAACAGCATCAGAGCAAATTGAGGCGTTGACAAAACAAGTAGCTGCATTAACCAAACAAATAGCAAAGTGGATGAAACAAAGCAGGTCCCGACCAAGGAGCCGTTCGAGGAGCAGGCCAAGACAAGGTGCAAGCAAGGAGGAAGAAGACATCTGCTACTACCATCGCAGGTTTAGAGCAGAAGCTCGCAGGTGTGCACAGCCCTGCGCATACAAAGAAAAAAACCAGGAGGGCAGTCATTAATGGCGGTAGATGACGACGGCCCAGGACCACGCCGCCTCTACGTGATAGACAAGAGAACAGGAACAAAGTTCTTGATAGACACCAGATCAGACGTCAGTATATTCCCGGCAAAAATGACAAGGGGTACTAGGCGGACACTTCAACCATTCGAGTTATACGCAGCAAACAAGACGAGGATCCATACATATGGAACAACTGTTTTACAACCAGATTTTGGTCTGCGAAGAGCATTTTTTCACAATAAAGTTGCATTTTCAAAAAAAACAGCGAGAACTTAGTTGCGCACCTAATAATTTTTTTGGGGTGATACTCTATTGACCACAGTACGATTCGACACAGCTCGATTCGACACAGATTTATTCGACACCAAATTATTCGACACCGTACGATTCGACACCA